GCAAGCTCATGCGCTTGCTGCAGCCCAGCATCGAGGCTTTCGCGCACGCCAGAGCGGTGCCAACGATGGCTTCTGCGCGGCGGCGGTGCACTTCAGGGGCTTCAGCCTGGTCATCCAAATGTTTTATGGCCTATCTTCGATAGGACTGACAGGCGACAATCTGGCGCGCTTCCACAAGTTCGGAGGCCTGGTTCGAGCGCTGCAACTACCCTGGCTCATCAGCGGGGACTTCAACGTTCCAGCAGCCACACTTGCCAAGAAGGGTATTGCTTCATCAGTTGGAGGGCGACTCTACACGGGAGACCTTGTGACAACGTGCACGGCAGGCGCATCGGGCTCTCTGATCGATTATGCCGTGGCCAGCAATAATTGTCTCCCTTACATCATCTCCATCACACCCGTCGTGCAAGTGCCTTAGAAGACACACATAGCATTCCAAGTCCGCATCAGAGGTTCAGGGGCCCAGTTGTTGATTCGGGCTCTGGAGCTCCCAGCTAGACTGCCTCAGGTTGGGAGGCCTAAGCGCGAAGCCACTCCAGGGTCAAAATCTTCCGAGCCCCGCAAACAATATTCTGAGAAGAAGCGGGCAGCAGTAGAGCGTAGGATTTCACCTTATACTTCATTGTTTGGGGAAGAGCCCGAGACCACAGAGCCCCCAGAGGAACTTCCGGTAGATTTTGACCTGCTGCTGCAGGGTGAGACGGCCGAAGGATGGGAATCGGACCCTGAGGAAGACCCTTGGGCGAACGAGTCGGAGTGCAGGCACGTGCCGTGCTCTCCCCCTCGTCCTCCGCTGCTCCTCCTGCTGCTGCTGCTGGGCTTTCTTCCCCCCCCACCTTGGGCCGCCCCCTGCAGCGCGCCTAAGAATGCAATTTGAGCAGTCAAGTGACAGTCGTGTCACAGGAATGCCATTTAAAGCCACCCCGACCCCACCTTTGGAGAGCCCCCCTGGGAGCACGGTAGGGACCGCCACAGTTGGGGAGTCTGGATGGCCCTCTTTCTATATTCCTGAGAGCACGCGGATCACTGAGCGAGCTTTGGTCGGTACAATTGCTCAGACAGAAGATTGCATATGGCCTCCCATTGCGCGTTCCGTAGCCGTTTTGGCTGGTGGGTTCGAGCCTGTTCTTGCTGTTAGCACCACATCCACGTCGTGGATTTCTGCAGCAGAGCGGACGATTGTTGCTCACCACAGGCTGGGTGAAAACGAGCTGCCCAAGTCAGTGGCAGCCTCGCTTGGGAGAGCGAGTGGACCGTCACTTCGCATCAAGGAGGTGCACGTGCCCAACAAAGTTCAAGCAGCACCGATACGAGATTACATCGAAGAGTGGTGGTTGCAGTCTCACACGGTCCTCCAGCAGTCGTTGAAGCATCGGCAGAAAGGCAACGGCGAGGTACAGCAACGGCATTTACAGCACGCTTGTTGGCGACTGGCAACTACCTTTCCCGAAGGAGTGGCCCGAGGTTTGCAAGAAGCCGATCCTTCTTGGGAGACTTGGGTCGGTTCCCTCACCCAATGTCAGCAAAGCATCGGTGAATATTCTGACGCATCTTGAGCAGGCAGCGCTTCGGCTTGCCATGCGAGCCCAGAGTAGAGCAGTATGTGAGTCCCTGTCAGAATTCAGATCTTGGGTGACAACCGCAGAGGCGCCGGGAGCCCTCTTCCGCAGCCCCAAGGAGACGCCGCTCACGGTAGACGAGACCACCACCAAGAGCGGCGAGACCTTGTATCACCCTGTGGATGGCGGACCACAAGGTGCAGATCTAGCATCGGATGTGGGCTCCAGAGCAGGTGGACATAGAAGGTACGGTGCAGCTTTTTCAGAAGATCAGAGAGGCATCAGAGGCAGCGACGCTTCCGACGATCGAGGTGAGCCAGTTGGACAGGGCAGTCTGGCGAATGAACCCCCGCGCAGGGCTCGGAGTGGACAGACTCACTCCCACTGACGTCCAGAGGCTCCCGCAGTCAGCGAGGGCTGAGCTGGTCGACTTCTACAACCAGGTAGAGGAGCAATTGACCTGGCCCTGGCAACTCCTTGTTGTCGAGGGCCGCCTTCTGCCCAAGAAGGCCCAGAGCGACTAAGGCATTGGGCTCATGTGTACGATCTGCAGAATATGGTCTCTTATACGTGAAGACATCATGAAACCATGGACTGTTGAATCTAGTGAAAGGTTGGGCTGCAGCGCTGGCGGGCAACTCAACGCCCCGCGAGGCCTTCCTCAAGACGGCATACGAGGAGATCTACGGAGTGCTCGGCGTGCCCTACGCACATGCGATCTTGGATATACAGTGTTTTCTATGACGCTGTGACATGGGCATGTTTAGTTCATGCAGCACTGAAGCTGGACTTTCCGCCAGTTATTTTACGATTAGAGCTACAGCTCTGCACGGCCCACAGAATGATGACTCAACTCGGGTCGGCATGATGCCCTTTTCAGTTGGCGAGATCGATAATCCAGGGCCTTCGGAATGGGACGCGATTCGGGACGCGCGCGACACCTTCTGTTTTGAAACGGCTCACGGAGGGCAATCCAGGCCTCCATAACGGAATTGGATCAACGATTTGAGTGAATCAGATGTAGGATCAGAGCGGTATGGCTTTCGGAAAATGGTCAAAGGCGCGACAGAGACGTTTGGTTTTCTAGCAGAAGAGAAGTTCCCCGTGGCATCGAAGAGCGTCTTCATCGCAGCTAGACATCAGCAGGCCAAGGCGATTGCAGCAGCTCTTAGACGACATGGGCATCACCTACGACCAGCACTACAGGCAGCGCATCTCGGAGTGGATCTTGCAGCAGGGCGCAGGGCAGCACGGGCGACGAGGCGAGGCCGAGTCGTCAAGGCAGCAGGGCACCATCGGAAGATTTCGAGATGGGCGAGGACCAGTGGACAATATGCAGTGACAGCCACTCTAGAAAAGGTTACAGGGCAGACGGCGGCACATCATGGCCATTTGATTCTCGGGATGTTCGGCACAGAGCTTCCCCAGTTGCGACGCCGTTTGGGGGCGGTCTGCGGATCCAATCGTAGGGGGCATTGCTTAACCGCGACGTCAGACCTGCGAGCACCGCAGCAGGACCCCGCAGTTCGTCTGAATAAGGAATGTTTGAGTGAGTGGCTACGGCTTTGGACGTCCACCCGCTGCATCAGGTCGTCAGTCTCCAAAGTTTGGCCAACCATTGTCAGCAAAATGCAAGCGCTCACCACGTTCGCGGGCCAGCCAGTGCAGTGGTCGCTACGTTGTTGCAGTATAAGCGGGAACCGATCTCGCCATCACACCGGCAACTCCAACACGGCGGGGGCACGAGTGAGCAGATCGAGTGGCACTTCAACGAAGCAGATCTGACGGGCTCCGAGGATTTCAGCGATATCTTGGCAGATCTGGCGACATCTGTGATGGAATGTTCATGGCAGCAAGCGGCGTCTCATTATTGCGGCGAGGGCTTGACGAATGGCATCGACATCGAGTCCCTTCGCGTATTATTGAGCCGTCTGGGGCAGGCCCCCAAGGAAGCACAATGGGCTGAGACGATGCTGGCGGTGACGACGGGGGGTACATGGCCGAGGACGAGGTTCGAGATCGACGATCCAGAGGTCAAGCTGTGCCCCAGGTGCTTGCTGAAAGGTGAGCGCCACCCAGACACGCCGCTCCACAGATGTTGGCTTTGTCCCCAGAATACTGGCCACCAAGCTTATCGTGACTCAGACCAGTACGTGCCGCAAGTAGTTAGTCAGCACGAACAGTACGAGCGCTTCTGGTTCCGAGGACTGCTACCCAGCTCATGGACGGAGGCCCCCCCGCCGTCCAAAGCTGAGAAATGAGGTTTCGAACCAGAGCTGCCCGACGGCGATGACATTATTGCTGTGGGCACCGACGATCATCCAGTATATGTACATGGGGATGCAAGTGGAGGCGCCGATACTCATTCACCCAAGTTGAGGAGAGTCGGCCTCGGTTTCACGATCGTGGAGCATTGTCATCCAGTTCGACTAGGCCTCGAGGCTCATGGACCGTCAAACTGTGTACCGCGGCGAACTGGTTGTTCTAGAATGTGTCCTCAGATGCAACCGAGGAGCAGTCATCTATCTCACCGACAACGAAGGGGTGGAGAGAGGCTGGGTATCCAGAATGTACCTCCATCCCCGTGAGGACAATTCAGATGTTGATATGTGGCAAGCCATTGGTCAGCACATGCATGAGACCGAGGGTCGTCACGGCAGAGTCTCGGTTATTCTTATGAATTCACACTTGTCGGAAATCGAAGCTGCAGAGAAAGGACAGGAGCACATATTGCCAGCAGCTGTCCGTGCCCGTGTTGTCCAGCAGGAAAAAAGAGCGGAGTTGGTGCGGCGTCGGCTTTTCAGAGCCACGACGGACGCCATGGCTGCTGTCCCCAAACCAAAGAGAGAGTCTGAAAAACTTCGCTTAGTTCCGCCTGCCCCGATAACCATTGCTCGTTTCTGTACCACGCATATCCTTGATGACAGCGGCCGTCTTTGTACGAGATGTCATGGGTCCGCGACCAAAAAATGTCTCGCTAATTGGTTGAAGACGCCCTGTTTTGCCCTGCATTCTGTAGACGGTGTTCTTTCACGAATACCCCCAGGGTGTAAAGTCCATCGGGCGGGGGGGGTGGCTGCATTCCTCACATAACCTCAGGTTTCCCGAACATTTGAAGCTCTGGTTTTGCGGGGCGTGCGGATACTACTCCTCAGATCAAATCCGAAGGTTTGCATCCGAGTGTACGCATGGAACCAACAAGCCCCGACTAGAATATTTAAACAGGATTCAGGATGGGCTCTGGCCAAAGGTTTTGTCGTTGTCGGGGCAACGAGCCAGGGGCCGCATCCCTCCTCAATTAGTATATTTTTCGCTTCGCGAATTGACCATTCCCATTCCCATTCTCTTCCTCGTCCTCGTCCTCGTCCTCCTCCTCCTCCTCCTCCTCCTCCTCCTCCTCCTCCTCCTCCTCCGCCCCTGCTGCGCCCGCCGCGGCCTGGCCTGTACAGCAGCTGGTGTAGCGGCACGAGGGGCCTCCGGGGACGTCAGCGCGCCCCGGGGGCGCCGGCGGGCACGCCCCTCGCGTGCTCCCCCTCGGGTATCTGGCATATCCTCCCATCTTCCACTCCTCCTTCCTGGCTCACCATGACCATGATCGTCATCACCACCACCACCACCACCACCACCACCACCATCAAGAACTTCAACTTCAGCAGCAGATTCGCCCCATCATCACCATCATCATCAGCAGCAGCACCACCACCACCACCACCACCACCACCATCATCATCATCATCATCATCACCATCACCCTCACCATCACCATCACCATCACCATCATCATCATCATCATCATCATCATCATCATCACATCACCATCACCATCACCATCACCATCACCATCACCATCATCATCATCGTCATCATCATCAGCACCAGCACCACCACCACCACCACCATCATCACCATGACCACCACCACCACCACCACCATCATCATCATCATCATCATCATCATCATCATCATCATCATCATCATCATCATCATCATCATCATCATCATCATCATCATCATCATCATCATCATCATCATCATCTTCATTTCCATTTTCATCTTCATCTTCATCATCAGCCGCAGCAGCAGGATCATCATCCCCGTTATCTAACATCATCATCATCATCACCACCATCAGCATCATCATCATCATCATCATCATCCTCATCGTCCTCATCATCATCATCATCATCATCATCATCATCATCATCATCATCATCATCTTCATCATCATTATCATTATCATCATCAGCCGCAGCAGCAGGATCATCATCCCCGTTAGTTGACATCATCATCATCAGCGGCAACATCATCATCTTCCCCGTTAGCAACATCATCATCAGCATCATCATCATTATCATCATGACCACCACCATCATCATCATCATTATCATCAGCAGCAGCAAAATACCCGCCTCTTCTTTCTCCTCTTCATTATGATCATCAGCATCAGCAGCAGCAACGCCATCGCCCTACAGTCACCATAGTCATCATTATTATCATCATCATCATCATCATCATCACCTTCACCATCACCGTCATCATCAGCACCACCACCACCACCACCACATCATGATCATCAAAAAACATCACCACGACCACCATCATCAACTTCATCATCATCACCAGCATCATCATCAGTAATACAAGCATAATCATCAGACTCATCATCATGAACAACACCAAAATCAGGATCGACATCATCATGATCATCATCGTCATCATCGTCGTCGTCGCCGTTGTCGTTGTAATAATCATCATCACCATCGTCATCATCATGGTCATCACCATCGCCAGCATAACCATCATCATCATCGTCGTCGTCATCATCATCAGCATCATCATGATCAGCATCGTAATCGCCATCAATCATCCACTACACATCGCCCATAACAAACCATCCATCGTGATCATCAGTATCTTCAGCCGCAGCGTCATCATCGTCATCGCCATCATCAGCCGCAGCATCAGCATCATCATCAGGTGCATCATCACCAACCATCACCAGCATCTACATCACCAACACCATCATCGTAAGCGTCATCGGCGTCACCATCACCATCACCATCACCTTAATCGTCACCACCATTATCACAATCACCATCACCACTACCACCACCACCACCATCATCATTATCATCATCTTCAACACCACCATCATCATCATCCTCATCATCATCATCGACATTATCATCATAACTATCATCATCAAAACACCATTGTCGTAATCATCATCACCAAGACAATCAGTATCGTAAGCATAATCAATCCGCCATCAACATCAACCATGAATATATCCATAATCATCGTCATCACTTCGGCGTCGCCATCAACTCGGCATCATCACCCATTACCATCGTCATCGCAATCGTCAACCTTATCGGCATCATCGTAATCGTCATCAACATCACAAACACTTTCATTCGTGACCGTCGCCACCACCACCGTCATAAGCATCATAAATAGCATCCGCATCATCAGCAGCACCATCATCTGAAGCGTCATCATCCCCGTTAGCATTATCATCATCAAAACAATCAGCATCATCATCGTCGCAATCTTCACCATCATCATCATCATCATCATCGCCACCAACATCATCATCAGCATCGGAATCTCCATTACCATCACCCTCACCATCACCATCACCACCATCATCACGATTGTCGTTATCAACACCATCATCATCAATATCTGCATGATCATTACCCTCTGGGTCGTCCTGCAACAGTTCCTCGCCCTCCGCCTCCTCCTCCTCCTCTGTCCCTCCCTCCGTCCCTCCTTCTGCAGCCCAGCCTGTTTCCTCTTGGCCCTCTTTCTGCTCTTCCCCTTTCCATTTACAAGAAAACAATTCTGCCAAAGCGGACCCCGAGCAATGAAGTTACCGCACTCATGATGCGCGAACTACGTGGCGGAAGCCATGTGGCCGAAGCAAAAGATGTGGAGCAAGCTATGCAGTGCAAGAGATGCGGAGTAAGCTATGTTGTGCCAGAGGCGTCGTGGTGAACTGCATACGGTGTGGGCTGTGCGGTGCAAGCTATGTGGTGCAATGTATATGGTGTAAGCTACGTGCCGCAGGTTATGCTATGCGCGCAAACCATCTGGTGCAATGCATATGGATGAAGCTACACTCGGACTTGATTGGAGAGGACACGCGAGAGGACACAAGACCCTTCCGAAGTCCACATCGCCATAGGAGTGTAGGAAAGAACGCGTCGCGAGTCACAGGACACAAGGGTACCCTTGAGCAGGCAGGGTCGACCTGCTAATCAGGGCCGACTGTATGTGACGCCCGCCGTCGTGGCCGGAGGCGATCACGTCGGCCACGACGTGGTCGTCGTCGTGTCTGTCGACGTCTTCGTGATCGTCGACGTCATCGTCGCCGTTGTCGTCGCGGTCGTCCAACGTCGTCGTCGACGTCGTCACCGCCGCCAACGTCGTCTTCAACGTCGCCGTTGCGGCCCCTGGCCTGTAGTCGGCGTCGGCGCACGCGGCCGGACTGGCCTGTGGGGCGCAGCGCTCGATGTGAAGAGGGGCGGTGGAGAGGAGGACGCTACTCCTTCTCTTCAAAACAATTCCTTCAAGACTTCGACAAAAACCACACCTCCTCCTCCTCGTCCTCCTCCCCTTCCTCCTGCTCCTTCTCTTCCTCCTCCTACAGCATCTGACGATGCTACTGCTACTACTACTCCTACCTGTACTACTACTACTACTACTACTACTACTACTACTACTACTACCACTACTACTACTACTACTACTACTACTACTACTACTACTACTACTACTACTACTACTACTACTACTACTACTACTACTACTACTACTACTACTACTACTACTACTACTACTATTACTACTACTACTACTACTACTACT